TTGGGGTCACGTGATCATATAGTTTTGACGTTGGAATTATTGCTTCTGATTAAACGTTAGGATTCGTACTTCGAAGTATACAATGAGATTGACTTAATTAATACTAGATGGCAGCTAAATAAAGGGCGAGACTTATTACAATTTCTATCTATAACACTCATCATGTTTCAGATACGGTGACAAAGCACCCAAGTCCATTATCGCACGCATTCTCTGCATTATCTGGATGTTGGCGGGAGCAATTTTACTCTCACTGTTCACTGCTAACACAACATCTATTATCACCGCAAGTAGAATTGGGAAGAATTCACAGACTATGGGGAAAAAGGTGAAATTGAAGTTGTGACGAGATAAATTAGTACATGATCCAAATACTTAGAAAACTGTCTGGTAGTTAGACTACTCACGCCCCTTGTCTAACATTCTGGTAGTTAGACTACTCACGCCCCTTGTCTAACAGTCTGGTAGTTAGACTACTCACGCCCCTTGTCTAACAGTCTGGTGGTTAGACTACTCACGCCCCTTGTCTAACATTCTGGTGCTTAGACTACTCACGCCCCTTGTCTAACAGTCTGGTAGTTAGACTACTCACGCCCCTTGTCTAACATTCTGGTGCTTAGACTACTCACGCCCCTTGTCTAACAGTCTGGTAGTTAGACTACTCACACCCCTTGTCTAACATTCTGGTGCTTAGACTACTCACGCCCCTTGTCTAACATTCTGGTGCTTAGACTACTCACGCCCCTTGTCTAACATTCTGGTGCTTAGACTACTCACGCCCCTTGTCTAACATTCTGGTGCTTAGACTACTCACGCCCCTTGTCTAACATTCTGGTGCTTAGACTACTCTGGTAGGGATGCAACTACTAAGACCCTGGGTACGAGGTTGTGAAACTATAGCTGAAAAATGTAAGGGGAATTTCGACGTTTCCAGCGAAAGCCCTTCGCCCTGAGATACCAGCGGTGGTCGGGAAATATAAAAGCCTTATATCGTATAAACGCGCCATTTAATTAATTAAACTACGAAAATAAAACAAATGCCAATGGTGGCGAGTAATTTTTAGTATCTAGCTGTCTGATTATAATTTCACCTCATGAAGTCACACGTGAATAGAGTACTTGATCGATGCTTTAATCTTATTCAATACAATGCATCCATATATTTTTCAGTGTTACTTGTCCTCTGTTCCATGTTGTGTCCGAATGGCTTTCTTTCTTATTATTAGTGTATTTGTTCTCTTATTATGTTCTAATTTCGTTTTTTCTATTCAATCCCGTTCCGTTAGATTGGAGTTGTTAATATGAAACAATTTGTGCAGGCAGAATTGAATCTTGGAGCTCACATTATCGGTATAAATCTACGAGCAGTTCATACAGCAACAAGAGCGCTTAAGCAAAAGACGATTTAGTGCATGATAACACGTACGGCAACCAGAATTCAATCGGGCTGTTTTTTCATGATGAAGAGTAATGGCAGCAATTCTTGCTTGAAATGAACGAACGGCAGTCAATGAAGTTTCACGTTTGTGATTTGAAACAAGAACAGCTGTGCTTCTACGCAAATACGTCCGCGTATAGGAGGTGTCTTCGTAATTTGGGTTATAATGATAGTATTTCATTGATCGAGATTATAAAAGACTAGAGTGGGCATTCCAGGAAAAATCGAGGGAGAAATTCAAGCATTCTAATGGGGGATTTTACTTGAAAATTCCGGATGTTAGCTCCCACGCCAAGTGACTACATTGAGGTCCTCGTAGCAAAACTGTTGAGACTAACTTAGCAACAAAAATTAATACGAACTAGTCTTACTATACGGCTGGCCTAAACGAACAAAACATCCCAATTCTGGAAAAATACTCTTCATATATATGGACCATATTACAACATGGGAATTTGAATTTTGTTGCATTTTTCAAAATTCGGGCGATTTTCTTTCCAGTTTTTTCAAATTGTTTTGACGACCAGAAAAAAATTATTTCGCCTGTTGCTAAAGCGCTGTTGCTAACGATATTATAATGTAGCCAATAAGCATACGTTTTTCCATTCGGATTAGGCAGCTTCGATTTGTTTCCGACTTTATTCCGCAAATACCACTCAATTGTTTTATGATCTCTATATGCTTTTATTAATATTGGGACAAGAAGTTGTGTTCATATAAGAGATGTGCTAGTGGAACCTTCATCTTTCAGAATACACCAAAGTTGAAGCTGCGTTAGAAGCTCTAAACGACAAGAGTATCGACCGATTGTTGTTTCCTCACTACCTGGATTTACTTTTCTTCATGTCTGACCCAAATCTCGGAATGCCTGTGCTGTCTAATATCTATATTGCCAAGGAACTGGATAAATCATTTCAGATTGGCATGGTGTTGTCGCATGGCAACGGTTCATTGCTCAGTAATCAGGATTTTTATACATGTTTGGAAATTATGACATCTAGGATTTCATCGGAGGTACGTTTGTCAGATAAACACCTATCAGGATTTTTTGAGGATATACACAGTATCAACATGCCATCACGCTTTGTCCGAAATTGAGTTCCATGTTCCAGAAAACATTCCCTCGTGTAGCATGAGGGTCTTGCAGATGGAAATTTCGAATGTATATTTTATACATTTATTTCGGCCTAATCTGGAGCAACTGCCACAAAACACAACTGTTCCTGCCAGTTTCCTGCATTTTTCACACCAGCTTTTGGTTAGCTCTAACAAATGTATAAATTTACACTCGAGATTCCCATCTACAATATCCTTCAACATTAGATCGATAAACACATACCAGCTGTATCATGTTATATTACACCCGACACCACACCATACCATACCATGCCATACCATATTCTACCATGCCAAACTATAACAGCGCGCATGACAAACCATAGCATGGCCTTTGATACATCACATTACCACACAACGCAGCAACATACCACAGGGTTTAATGACCACTAAACTGAAAATTCCCCAAAATTTGTAAAAACTTCATGTTAGCATGGGTAGTTGTGGACTTTTTAGTTTCTTTATCACAAAATTATTCTGAAAAGTAAATTTTCGAGTGCAGCGGTTTGCGCTTAAAAATGGCAGATTTGAGACGCATTCTTAAAGATTTCATATAGGGTGAAATTTGGAAGGTATTTTGTGAATTATCGAAGTATCAAACAATTTGATGCACATTAATTGATGCTCTTTATCGACATGAGCCTATTATCGCAATGCTTGTAAGCAATGCGCTTTGCAGATTTAATATCTTCGGTTCATTGAATGCTATGAGGACAAAAATACTACCATTTGATTCAGTGTGACTAGATGTCGTCACTCGTAGCAATAGTTTTAGTCATTGGCGGCATTATAGTTTAAAAGTAAAGCGAGATCGAATACGATCAAATTACGCATTTTACCAACAAATTATAAAAACATAAACATACCTTTCGCCGAATATAACTTCGGCCCCTTGAAACGTATGCTCATTGTGATATTCTTGATGAATTAATCATTTAAAA